CACGAAAGGTATACAAATATACTTTCATGAGGGGAATATTAATAGACCTTTGATTGATTTCATGAGGGGAATATTAATAGACCTTTGATTGATTACATGAGTGGAATATTAATAGACCTTTGATTGATTACATGAGGGGAATATTAGTAGAAATTTGATTGATTACATGAGGGGAATATTAATAGACCTTTGATTGTTTACATGAGGGGAATATTAATAGACCTGTGATTGATTACATGAGGGGAATATTAATAGATCTTTGATTGATTACATGAGGGGAATAACTGATACACAAAGGTACTTCTTAAGCCTTTATTTCTGCAACAATGAGTTAGAAGATGTTTATTTAAACAACTAAATTTACAACATCTTTTTCTTTCTATCCCGTTGCGTAATTAATTTTATAGAAAACTGAAACTGGAAATAATCAATTTTAAGACAGACAAAACAGTGATTAACATATTACGTTTGTTCGGACAAAGGTTTAAAGGGTACCATTGTTAATCGGACAGGCCAAAAAAGAAATTATGCGCATTTTAAATTACTTCAAAATTACCTTAAATATTAACGTTAGCTTAAGTAATTTATGACCACACAAAGATTTAAGCAACATTTCATATCAATGGTTATTTAAAAAAAAAAAAATTTTACTTTTATTTTCTAGGTATATAACAGATATATTGCTTATAGTTTTTATAATGATAAACCTAACAATATTAATAAAATAATGATTGTGATATTGCCAGGAATCCATTAGTTCAGCAGATAGTTGCTAGTCGGCAGCAGTACAAATATACAGATAATATTACACTAAAGGTAAACAAATATGCAGATAATATTAAACTAAAGGTAAACAAATATACAGATAATATTACACTGAAGTTATACAAATATACAGATAATATTACACTAAAGGTAAACAAATATACAGATAATATTACACTAAAATTATACAAATATACAGATAATATTCCACTAAAGTTATACAAATATACAGATAATATTACACTAAAGGTAAACAAATATACAGATAATATTACACTAAAGTTATACAAATAAACAGATAATATTACACCAAAGGTAAACAAATGTACAGATAATATTACACTAAAGGTAAACAAATAAACAGATAATATTTCACTAAAGGTAAACAAATATACAGATAATATTACACTAAAGGTAAACAAATATACAGATAATATTCCACTAAAGGTAAACAAATATACAGATAATATTCACTAAAGGTAAACAAATATACAGATAATATTACACTAAAGGTAAACAAATATACAGATAATATTCCACTAAAGGTAAACAAATATACAGATAATATTCCACTAAAGGTAAACAAATATACAGATAATATTAAACTAAAGGTAAACAAGTATACAGATAATATTCCACTAAAGGTAAACAAATACACAGATAATATTCCACTAAAGGTAAACAAATATACAGATAATATTGCACTAAAGGTAAACAAATATACAGATAATATTCCACTAAAGGTATACAAATATACAGATAACATTACACTATAGGTAAACAAATACACAGATAATATTCCACTAAAGGTAAACAAATTTACAGATAATATTCCACTAAAGGTAAACAAATTGTTGAGTTGAGTGGAAAATAGGTCCATTTTGAAAATATATTTTTATAAATGGAAACAACCTAGTGTGTTGATACAGACCCAGGGAACACCTTGTTTTCAGATTTATTTTATTATCATTCAATTTGTAAAGATTGCCAATTCATTCTTAGATAGTTGCGCAAGCGACAAGAGAAATAATCAAATTCAAAACAAATTAATTAAAAAATATTATAAAATATAAACTATATACAAATGTATACGGTCTAAGTCGTATGTTGTAATTTTCTCAATTTGTAAGATTAGTAGCGATCAAAAGCGCTTTTTTATCGCATTAAGCCTATACCCCCTTTCATTTTTTGCGAACACTCCCTTTAAATGCATTTGTATTGTGTTTCATGGTGAGAATGGACAAAATGAATATATTCTGATAATATTTTCATTTGCAAACATTGTATAAATTGTAGCTTGCATTGATTTATAAAGATTTCAATTTATAATTACTTTTCCCGTTCATATAATTATCCTTGAATGGATCCTGTAAACCCGCAATATATTTAGATGTCGTCTTTGTTACAGCGAGCTATTTCGAAAAAAATACACAGATATTTTACAAGTAATAGCGGGGTTTCCGTTGAGATTCTTAACTAAAACATAACATTTGAACAACTTAGAGACTTCTCTGAAAAAAATTCTTAAGCGGCAAAGCCTTATAAAGGGGTTTATGGAATAAACTCAATTTGGCTGACCCTCCCCCCCTCTGAAAGGCTAAATTGGATTTTGAACACTGCTGATAAAGTAATACGCATGTCCATTATTAATGGAATGCAGGATATAATCATGCTTATTTAGATTTAATTTATCGGTTGCTTTGATTGTGTTTCAATAAATACATTTTAAATGACTTAACCTTAACAAGGTGTGAGTAATACGAATTTATCTAGTAACATAATAGCAAGTTTTTTTGCAAACTTAAGTTTTACAATCCCTATATATGTTCAACCTGACGGTGTAAACCTTTGATTATTTGTGGATAAGACTCAATTCCTTTAAGATATTTTGTTCTTCTCGATACCTCTGTAAGAAAGAGCTCTAATCCTTATCGATACCTATGTACATTAGAAGGAGTTATACTCCTTTTGGATATACCTCTGTACATAAGTAGGAGTTCTAATCATTCTGAATACCTCTATTCATTAGTAGGAATTCTAATGATTCTGGATACCTCTGTACATTAGTAGGAGTTCTATTCCTTCTGGATACCTCTATACATTAGTAGGAGTTCTAATCCTTCTGGATACCTCTGAACATAAGTAGGAGTTCTAATCCTTCTGGATACCTCTGTACATTAAAAGGAGTTATAATCCTACTGGATAACTCTGAACATAAGTAGGAGTTATAATCCTTCTGGATACCTCTGTACATTAGTAGAAGTTCTAATCCTTCTTGATACCTCTCATAAGTAGGAGTTATACTCCTTCTCGATACCTCTGTACTGTACATTAGAAGAAGTTCTAATCCTTCTGGATACCTCTGTACATTAGTAGGAGTTCTAATCCTCTTGATACCTCTGAACATAAGTAGGAGTTATACTCCTTCTCGATACCTCTGTACTGTACATTAGAAGAAGTTCTGGATACCTTTGAACATTAGTAAGAGTTCTAATCCTTCTGGATATACCTCTGTACATTAGTAGGAGTTCTAATCCCTCTGGATGTCTCTGTACATTAGAAGGAGTTCTAATCCTTTTGGGTATACCTCTGTACATTAGTAGGAGTTCTAATCCTTCTTTGAGTTTTAATCCCTCTAGATACCTCTGTACATTAGAAGGAGTTCTAATCTTTTTGGATATACCTCTGTACATTAGTAGGAGTTCTAATCCTTCTTGATACCTCTATACATTAGTAGGAGTTCTAACCCTTCTGGATACCTCTTTACATTAGTAAGAGTTCTAATCCTTCTGGATACCTCTTTACATTAGTAGGAGTTCTAATCCTTCTGGATACCTCTGTATACATTAGTAGGAGTTCTAATCCTTCTCAATACCTCTGTCATTATTAGGATTTCTAATCCTTCTTGATACCTCTGTACATTAGTAGAAGTTCTAATCCTTCTTGATACCTCTGTACATTAGTAGTAGTAGGAGTTCTAATCCTTCTCAATACCTCTGTCATTATTAGGATTTCTAATCCTTCTTGATACCTCTGTACATTAGTAGAAGTTCTAATCCTTCTTGATACCTCTGTACATTAGTAGGAGTTCTAATCCTTCTTGATACCTCTTTACATTAGTAGGAGTTCTTATCCTTCTTGATACCTCTGTCAGTACATTAGTAGGAGTTCTAATCCTTCTTGATACCTTTGTACATTAGTAGGAGTTCTAAACCTTCTTGATACCTCTGTACATTATTAGGAGTTCTAATCCTTCTGGATACCTCTGAACATAAGTAGGAGTTCTAATCCTTCTGAACCTGGATACCTCTGTACATTTGAAGGAGTTCTAATCAAAAACATAAAAGATTTCAACCCTTTCAAATTCATTGGTGTTAAAGGGACAGACCGGCTATGTTAAGATAGGTGAACTGAGAATGCAGTGTTGTGGACAAATTCTTTAGGATTCATATAAAACTTTTTAAAGATCTGTAAATCCTGAGTTTGAGCTCAAAGTAGACGTTCAAAATCGTACATTTGGGTGAATACGTTCTCAGAATCGGTTTTTTAAAATTACTAAATCATTTTCCTTGAATTTATTTGCAGATTTCTTCAAATTATTTAAATGTCGTCTTTTCAATAAAAGTTCCAGAAAATCTGCAGAAAATCTTTGTGAATAATGAGAAACTAGAATAATGAGAAAATGGAAACTGATATTTGAAAAAGATTACTTATTTTCGATGGTAAGATTAATTTTATATTCTCAACCTGTTCCTAAAAACTAATTTGTTTAATGTAAAATTTTGTTTACATTTTTTGTCGTTGTTATTTAATAATATAATAAACAATTCTGAAAACGTATCAACCCAAAAAGTACGATTTTGAACGTCGACTTTGCGTCCAAACCCAGGATTTACAGATCTTTAAAAAGTTTTTTATGTATCAATTGAATCCTAAAGAATTTTTCCACAACACTGCATACTCAGTTCTACTGCCTTACAATATAGCCGGCCTATCCCTTTAAAACCTCAAATTGCAATCAGATAAATCCCATTTTCTCCAATAATGTACAAAGAATAAATAATTGCGGTTTAAGTAATATTTTAAAGCAACATTTTGAAAGTAAAGAGTTTAAATTTAAATCCGTAACATATCTAATACCAATTATTTTAAAAATATCATAAATAAATGTAGGGGTGTTGTTTCCCACTTGGGGTTTTCGGGGTCCTTTGTATATTGCCAGGAATCCATTAGTTCAGCAGATAGTTGCTAGTCGGCAGCAGTACAAATATACAGATAATATTACACTAAAGGTAAACAAATGTACAGATAATATTACACTAAAGGTAAACAAATGTACACATAATATTACACTAAAGGTAAACAAATATACACATAATATTACACTAAAGGACAAATATACAGAATATAATACACTAAAGGACAAATATACAGAATATAATACACTAAAAGTAACAAATATACAGATAATATTACACTAAAGGTATACAAATATACAGATAATATTACACTAAAGTTATACAAATATACAGATAATATTACACTAAAGGTAAACAAATATACAGATAATATTACACTAAAGGTATACAAATATACAGATAATATTACACTAAAGGTAAACAAATATAAAGATAATATTAAACTAAAGGTAAACAAATGTACAGATAATATTACACTAAAGGTAAACAAATATACAGATAATATTACACTAAAGGTAAACAAATATACACATAATATTACACTAAAGGACAAATATACAGATAATATTACACTAAAGGTAAACAAAATACAGATAATATTACACTAAAGGTATACAATTATACATATAATATTACTTTAAAGGTAAACAAATATACATATAAAATTACAGTAAAGGTATACAAATATAGAGATAATATTACACTAAAGGTATACAAATATACAGATAATATTACACTAAAGTAAATAAATATACAGATAATATTACACTAAAGTAAATAAATATACAGATAATATTACACTAAAGTAAATAAATATACAGATAATATACACAAATATACGCAGATGATATTACATAAAAAATGGTTAAAAATGTCTTATGCCAAAGAACGTAGCGTCCATATAAATTCAATTCCGATATTACAACTTATATTTGTCAAATTTAATTTGATCAAATCATATATATGGTGGGTATGTACTTTGAGGATGATTTACCCTATTTACTTAATGTGTCTCTTTCCTCGATATTTAAGAGATTTCATCCGGGAAAAACAACTAGCGAACAAAACAAGAATTGAATTTGACATTTATAGATTGTAATATCTAGTAGTTTAGTTTTAGATTTGATTGAATTATTTATGATCTTTGTTAAACAGTGGAACTCTGTGAATATAAATGAATTATTTATGATCTTTGTTAAACAGTGCAACTCTGTAAATATAAATGAATTATATATGATCTGTGTTGAACAGTGGAACTCTGTAAATATAAATGAATTATTTATGATCTGAGTGGAACAGTGCAACTCTGTAAATATAAATGCATTATTTATGATCTGAGTTAAACAGTGGAACTCTGTAAATATAATTGCATTATTTATGATCTGAGTTAAACAGTGGAACTCTGTAAATATAAATGAATTATATATGATCTGAGTGGAACAGTGCAACTCTGTAAATATAAATGAATAATATATGATCTGAGTTAAACAGTCGAACTCTGTAAATATAAATGAATTATTTATGATCTGTGTTGAACAGTGGAACTCTGTAAATATAAATGAATTATATATGATCTGTGTTAAACAGTGCAACTCTGTAAATATAAATGCATTATTTATGATCTGAGTTAAACAGTGGAACTCTGTAAATATAATTGAATTATTTATGATCTGTGTTGAACAGTGCAACTCTGTAAATATAAATACATTATTTATGATCTGAGTTGAACAGTGGAACTCTGTAAATATAATTGAATTATTTATGATCTGACTGGAACAGTGCACTGTGCAACTCTGTAAATATAACTGGACGCAACAGTTAAAATATGATAAAATATTTGAAACAAAAAACTGGTAAAGAAAACGAAAAAAATATTTCTGCCGTGTTAAGTTATAATGCACTTACAGTGAGAAAAAGGTCCATTTGAAAATAATTTTTTTTTAAATGGACACAACCTAGTGTGTGTTGATGCAGACCCAGGGAACACCTTGTTTTCAGATTTATTTTATTATCATTCAATTTATAAAGATTGCCAATAAAAGAGAGAAAGAAAAGACATAGAAGAATATAGAGGGGGGGGGGATGATAAACACAAAAATATGAAAAATTTATAAAAAAAAATAACAAATACTTCTTATATATTTTTTCTTCAGGTTGATCCTAGTTTGCTTTATCACACAGGTCACAATTATTTATCATTATTATTACAACTATCATTATTAGTATTATTATCATTATCAATACTATCTTTATCAATCATCAATATTATTATTATTATTATTATCATCAATACAATATTATTCTTATTTTTGCATAATTATGTAAAAAAAAACTAACAACTTTACTTTTATAATGCTATAAGGTTATAAAATATATGAATGATAAAAAATATAAATAATAATAATAAAATATTAGGCCTAGATGCAGTCTGGCAACCAGTAAATGGGACTAAGCACAAGTTTTATGTATATTCTGGTAAGTCTATAATCTTAATTACACCCTGCAGACCAAGGTTGTATAATATACTTGCTTACTCTCGATGCTCCAATTAACGGGAAATATCGTCTCCTAAGATCAAATCCGTATATGACGTCACTGATTATAAATGTATTTTATCTATCTATGCCAAGAAGACGACATTTCTCGTACATTTTATCGGATCGAGAGTAAGTAACCTTATTATACCTGCAAACTAATTATTTGTCTCCTTCCATTTCAATAAAAGCGCGTGTGTTTCGCGCACCTCTGCCCCTTTAGTAAAAGTAAATTCAACCCAAATAGATTAACAAGTACAATAGGTGGCAACAGAGAAATGGAGAAATTATACGAGACGTCACAAGTGTCAAATATAACAAGGGAAAAGAAACTTTCTCACATTAGTTGTCATGTTTTCCAAGATTAAATACAAAAGTGTAAAAACAGAAAAAAGAGAACTCAAAATTGCACTTCTTTACCGTAAAATAAGCATTTTATTCCAAAATTATCACTATTATTAATGATTTTGTCGGACACAAAAACTAAGTTGACACTTATGACGTCAGAATACAGCTGTCCTGAGAGTGTACACATACTACGTTGCCATCTATTGTACTAGAAATCTATTTGATTCAACCTATATGAAGCATAAAGTCTGACCGCGTCAACCTTGTTGCACCGGCTAGTCCTGTCCATATAGCTAGGTACAGTACAAACTGTTACCGGAAACGTTGACCCGGCTCGGAAATTCAAATGTACTACGGCTGCCCTTGGTTTGTCTATAATTCAACAATCTGTAAATTTACACATTCGCCGACAGAAAAAAAAGAGAAAAATAGATCAAACTGTGTTAATTAAAGCTTGCAACAAGTACAGAACCGTTAAATATATAGTTTAGAGATGCTTCCATTGAAATATTCCATTTTGGTGATTATATAAGTTAGATTAGTAGTGATCAAAAGCTCTCATTTTTCACGTTTCTGCAGAGAAATAAAGGTTCGTCATTCTTTGTCAGTCTTAAGGTTTACGCTATTGATGTGAATCAGAAACTCTACAGTCCTTTAGAAACCTAACATAATTGATCCATATTATTGTTTTAATTTTTATTTTTTTTTATTTCTTAGCATATTATGATGGTCGTGATAAGAAGCCAACAATTCGTGTGATATCTGCAACAAAAACTAAAAAATCTGAAAAGGTAGATTCTTAAAAGATGTTATAGGTACTTTTCCAAAGGTAATTTCCCAACCTGCAGCGCTCGGCCCTTATTTTAGCCTGCGTCGCCTAATTGTAGGCTTAACTTAATCATATGGGAAGTTGCCACTTGGGATATTGTGACTTGGGAAGTCGCACTTAAAAAAAATGTTATTTGGAAATGTGTTTAATGAATGATCCTTGGATTAAAGAATTCTTACAAGAATTTTGCACAGTTCCATTCTTAATAATCTTTAATACCATGGAAAAACTCTTAGATGATTAAAAAAAACTTTTCAATTATGAACACACCGAGAGAACTGAATTTTCATTGATAAAATTAATTGAAATATTTTACTTTTTGCAATTCTTTTAGAATTTATTTTAATTTTAATACTCTTTAATTTTAAACTTAATTTTTTTCAGGTTTGGTGCAAACTATACTTTAAAGATAAGCAGTCTATTCTCGTGCCGGTAAATATCTAGATTTGTAACGCACAGTGATTCAAAGGTTTCAATTGTGCTCATGTAAAAACTGATGAGAATTACACCAATTTCTTCTTAACACATAAAGCTTAAAACAATTGCGTTATTGTTATATTTACTTGTTTAAAGCTACACAATTATAAGTAAAATGGGGATATAAAAATAAAAGGCGTTTAATGACGCTTTAAAGTCGATCTAATCTTGATGCAACTATTCATAAATACCTGGATCTCCGTGAACGTCCTGTGATAAGATGGACCAAGTTCTGTTAATAAACCGTGCTTTTTTTAATTAACGGACACTTTTGTTTATCGGTTGCGTTGTTAGATCGTTTTTAGATCGTTAACGAAGGTAAGTTGTTACGGTCGCTACTGATATATCTCGTAATAGAATTTAGAATTTAGAATTTAGTTTAACTATAAAACGTATATGTTCCTACTGTATAGAAATGTAAAACTGTTTAAAACTATTAATCCTAAGGATTATATTAAAAACAATGTATAAATAATTGTTCAGGCTGTGATATCAACAATCAGAGAAAACTGGAATCTAAAATATTCTGCAACTTTCCTCAACTGTCAATTGTTCAACAAAACCTCACAAACATATTTAGGAAATTATGGAAACAAACTTTTTAAAACTTTAATCTCAGTTTTGAAAGGAAACTTTAAACATTTTTAATCAATTCACGCCACTCTAAAAGTTGCATTATCCTAGCCGGTACATCATGTAAAGTAAATGCATTCAGTCGTACAAACCAGTCCGGACTACCCAGTGTAAAGTCGACCCGGTACGTTTTATGCAACAAATAGAGCCTGTCAAGATCACAGTTGATAAAAGTGAAAAAATCTGAAAGTTAGTGTTGTTGATGATTTTTCTGTAAAAGTGATTCGCAGATTTATGCAGTTGAGGCAATGAAGTAAATTGAGAGAATTTGAATCTTTTCAGAACAGAAAAAGTATATAGGATATTTTTAAATGTGTTATTCTGAGAGGGCGCTAAAGGGGACCGTTGCTAGTCGGGAATTTAACCCGTTGAATCATTTGATAGACAGTCCCTTTAAAGCAAAACAAAAAACAAAACACAAAATCCAAATAAATAAAAACTGAAATAACGGAAAAGAAAAACAAATTTCAAAATACGGTTTTATTTTTTTTTAACTGAAAACAACTCAAAGATATTTTATTGCTATGAATGATTTGAGTTTTTTAAGATTTATTATTTATGATATGATACTAAAGCATTGTTTGTATTCAGGCATAGTTGAGCCAAATAATACAAAGATTGGAGTTTGTGTGAAACCAATCCACTACAACTACAATAAAACTTTTCAGTTTATTCAGTTTATAGAACTAAACAAACTTCTAGGTGTTTCAAGGTAAACATATCATTCCCTTTCATTCCCTTTTATTCCCTTTCATTCCCTTTTATTCCCTTTCATTACCTTTCATTACCTTTCAGTCCCTTTCATTTCAATTCATTCCCTTTCATTCCCTTTCATTTCAATTCATTCCCTTTCATTTCAATTCATTCCCTTTAATTTCAATTCATTCCCTTTCATTCCCTTTCATCCCATTTCATTCTCTTTCATTGCAATTCATTCCCTTTCATTCCTTTTCATCCCATTTCATTCCCTTTCATTTCTATTCATTTCGTTTCATTCCCTTTTATTCCCTTTTATTCCCTTGCCTTTCCTTTCATTTCAATTCATTCCATTTGATCCCTTTCATTCCCTTTCATTCCCTTTCATTCCCTCTCATTCCCTTTCATTCCTTTGCATTCCTTTTCATTCCCTTTTATTCTCTTTCATTCCCATTCAGTCCCTATCATTCCCTTTCATTCTTTTTCATTCTCTTTCAGTACCTTTTATTCCCTTTCATTCCCTTTCATTCCCTTTCATTTCAATTCATTCCCTTTCATTCCCTTTCATTCCCTTTCATTCCCTTTCATTTCCTTTCATTCTCTTTCATTCCCTTTCATTCTCTTTCAGTCCCTTTCATTCCCTTTCATTCCCTTTCATTCCCTTTCATTCCCTTTCATTCTCTTTCAGTCCCTTTTATTCCCTTTCAGTCCCTTTCATTCCCTTTCATTCCCTTTCATTCCCTTTCATTCCCTTTCATTCCCTTTTATTCCATTTTATTCCCTTTCATTCCCTTGCATTCCCTTTCATTTCAATTCATTCCCTTTCATTCCCTTTCATTCTCTTTCAGTCCCTTTCATTCCCTTTGATTCCCTTTCATCCCTTTCATTTCAATTCATTCCCTTTCATTTCTTTTCATTCCCTTTCATTCCCTTTCAGTTCCTTTCATTCCCTTAAATTCTCATTCACTCTCTTTTATTCCTATTCATTCCCTATTATTCCCGTTTATTTTTTAGTTTCTAGTATCTAAATTTCTGTCAATTATGTTTCGAGCAATTTTACCAGACTTTTAATTCATTTACATTTTAGATTTACTCTGTACAATTCCACGATGAGTATTGGTATGTCCTGTGTTCTAAACTACTATGTACAACAGGAAATCATTGTGTTAAACATCATTCATTTCATTAAATTTTTTGCAACAAGCTCAAATTTTTAAATCTCTAAATCTTTGCAACCTCATGGGTCAAACTTTTGATATTTAAACTATGACTAGATAATTGATTCCACAGAAATGATAATTTAAAATATCTAAGGTCTACGAATAGGGTTGCAAAGATAAAAAACAAGTTTCTTTTCCTGTTTTTGTTATTTAAATTCTTTAATCATGAACTGTTTATTTCTGAATTGTTCATTTGAGGCCAGCTAAAAGATAATTTAGAAAAACTATGTCCCGCTGAATTCTAAAATGCTTATATACAGGATTTTAGGAATTATTAGAAATCCAGCACAATTTCAATTTAGAAATATTAAAATACAAAGGAATTGAGTCTTTACCACAAACTCACATTTTCTAATCCCTATATCTTTGCAACCTGATGGTTGAAACCGATGATATTTTAAACTTAGACTATTTGATCTAAAAGAATAGTTTGAAATATCAAAGGTCTGCGACATTGGTTTAATATAGGGGAGAACAAATTAGAGTTTGTGGCAACAACTCATTTCCTTTATAACTTGATTTAAATAAAGTTTAATCGTTGAATAAGGTATTAAATAATGGTTACAATGGGTTACAAAGATATATGAATTAGAAAATTTTAGTTTGTGGCAAAAACTCAGTTTCTTTATTTCATTGCATATTAAAAGTATTCGAAACTTTTTTATTCTTCTTAATACCTGTTCTAAAAGAGGAGTAATAAACTGCTGGTTACTAAAAACCATATTTCGTATTGTATTGTATTAATTGCTTATTCAATGTCTATATAAAGTTATTGGTAAAATCTGTCCTAGGACATGATCGATGATGATGAAAAAACAACGAAATATATATTTCCTATTTCTAAGTTGTGCATTCTACAGCTGAGATGAGATTTTAAAAGCTTAAACCCGACTAAAACTTGGTCTTTGCGTCTGCTTAGACCCAAGTAAAGCTCAAGACAAAACCCGGGTTTTTTAATGTCCTTGAGTTTAGTAAGAACCAACCCTCTTGGGTTTTTCTCTCTTTAAGGCTCGAGTCTTCAGTAGCTGATGATTGTAAATTTCGTAAAAATTTTTATATTTGTATATTTGTACATTTAAAATCTCGAGAATTATTTGTGGTGTCAAATTTTATTGATTATATAAAATAAACATACTATTAAAATAATGTATCTACATAAAGTTTGAACTTTCGAAATTTACATGTCCTTGTCACAGCTGATCTGACGGTATTATGTCTGCTACAGAGAGAAAGCTTGCAAAACAGTCTCTTATTGGTCGAATCAGAAGCAATCCTGACTTGGGTTCTATCTAAGCCCGAGTTGGGTTTTACTTGGGTTTAAGCTTTTAAAATATCATCTTTTGATAAATATTCTCCAATTCTGATTTTTACTGTGAAATATGTTAACTGTATGGTTCAGGGTACGGTTCAGCTACTTCCCTGGAACCTGAATATTCCGTCACAAACTGAAATCAGGCAGAAACAGAATAAATTATTTATCTTTAATTTTATGTCAAATTGCATGCGCTTCATCTGAAATTTTTTAATTATGACAGTCTGGGGGTTAATAAGATAGTTTATAAATATTTTAATTGTAACATTTTAATATGCTTTCCATTTTCAGTAAACCTTTAAATGGATTAACATTTAATAATTCAATGAATCCCAACCAAATGTCAGGCATACATAAACCTATACAGTCTAGTAAATGTCACTGTGTTTGAAAATAGAATTTAAAAAACATTGAATAGTATTTAAAACTAACAAAATTTATAAAGATGAAATAAGTTTAAAAAACGAGAAATTTTTTAAAGATTGTTTTTATTTCTCATATTATGTCTAATGCTGGCTCTGTCAATTTTAGAATTTAAATCACATTTTACAATCAAACACGTTAAAAATCAAAATAAATGTACATAAATGTGGCTCTTTGTTAGTTCTTCTGTTTTTTTGGCACCCAAAAAAAAGTCTGAACGGCAAAACTATTTGGGCCAAAGTTTGTGATATCTATCATCATGCCCCAAAGATGGTTTTTGGCCGGTCAAAATTGATCAATTTTGTCTGGATATATCGCTAAAAAAAGTGGAAAGGCCTTTTAGCTGTGTCTAAAAAAGGGGACACCAAGCGTCTACATTTTTATTCATTTATTCAATTGTTTTGTATCTGTATAGAACCGAGGGACTGTTTGCAGCATTAAATGACTGTTTGTACAGAAACATGAATACTGTCAAATATCTGATGTTAATAGACTTTGATGAATTCATAATTCCTCACCAGGTAACTATGGAAACTGTCCATTTACTGCTTGATTTAAAGGTTGCAAGCAAGCAAGCAAAAATCGATGAGAATTTTGCCAATTACTTCTTAAAACACAAAGCTAACAACAAGTGATTTAAAGAGCTAAAATGTCCATGTAAAGTGGTACAGAAAAGCATAATTGAGTTTGAGCGGTAAAATAAAAGCCCAAGGAGTTGTGACACTTCAATGTCGACCCTTTTTTAAAAATTGATGAGACTTTTATAAGGAGACTGATTCTATGTACCTTGTGAAAAATCATGTTTGCAACATTAAAATCATGTTTTAAAACATTAAAATCATATTTTACAACATTTAAAAAGTATATAATTAAAATAAAATATAGCTCTACCTTTTAAAAATAACATTTTTATAATAAGAAAAAGTATATAATGTAAAATTAAATATAGCTCCATCTTTTAAAAACATCCCTATTGTTCGAAAGTCGTTTATAGATACAATTATATATTCCCGGGCCCAATCTTTATATATAAATTTGGCTTGTCTTTCTGTTTGTCTGTTTGTTTGTATCCAATAAACGTAAAAACGACTGAACCGATCGGGCCCAAATTTTTTGTGGTACATCAAGTGACCACAGGGAAGGTTTCTGAATGATAAAATTTTTTAAAAATGTGTTTTAAAGGTTTTTAATTTTATGAAAAAAATTAAATTCTTGAAAATCGGCGAATTTTTTTTTAAATCCGCAAAAATGTTTTGTTTTTAAATGTAAACAAAAGAACATGTTAACAATTTTAATAGAAGATGGGCCCTAAAAGCATGATATTGATTACATTTTCTAAACGAATTTACGCACTCATAGATTTATTATTAAAATTTAATGAAAGAAAATTTATGAAACGTACAAAATGTTTGTCAAATTTTCTTTTACTTTGAAAGCTTAAAGCTGTTGTGTTCCGATACATCTCATAAAAGTTCAACTTGAATTTCTAGAAAATTAAATATTTGATAAACTTTCATCACACTTTGATGAAATATTCGAATATAACTTTTTTTAAATGATTGTAGCAGAATGAAGAAAAGAATGATAAAAATATCTAAATTAACTCTAAATGGACATTTTAACGAACAACATTATATCAAGAAAAAAACCAAATCATTGATGTTTTTAATAATTTTCTTTTTATAGTGTTGTATCGGAATATTTTACAAGTTAAGCGGAACCCCTATTTTAGTTGACATTATTTAACATTATCTTTCCTCCATTACCATTTCTGTAATTGCTCTCGGCTTGTCCCCAGCCAAATTGTTAAAATCTGGCAACGGTTTAGAATAATAATAAAAATAATCTTGAAGAATCCGGATATATCCCGGTATAGTACAATATATATCCAAGTATAGTACACTATACCCAAGTATAGTATACTTTATATCCAAGTATAGTATACTATGAATACTATATATCCAATTATAGTATACTAATATATCCAAGTATAGTAATCTAGTATTCTCCAATACAGTACAGTACAGTATCCAAAAAAGCTAAATCACATAGTCCAGGGAAGGTTAATGACTGGTCAAAGTTGATAAAATTTATCTGGAAAAAATAATGAAAAATTTATTATTTTTTTTAATTGCGCCTGATTAAATTAAACGGAAAAATCTGCGAAAAATTTAGAACGATTCAAAATGGCATTTTTCAGATGCGCCCTTAAAGCCTAGTTTTTACATTTGTAAGTTTGATATGAATATATTCAGTGCTGAATAATATATAAATCTTGTTCTATGCGCATTCTTGTGATTTATATTTTCATTTTCCATATATTTCCATATTTATAAAGATATATCCTCAATATTTACATATATTCAACAATATTTTACCTTCAATCAATGCATTCAAATTATGTCATCAAGTGGAAAATATATTATTCAGTCCAGTTATACTAATTCATGATTTTTTATTATTTGTCTGTGATTTAATTTTGTTACACTGTTTACCTATTTAAATTTTAAAAAGACATAGTTAACACTATTATTGATATACTTAGTATACTCTATTATTATTATTATTATTATTGTCATTCCTTCCATTATGATTATATTTTTTATTATTAGTTTTATTGTTATTGTTTATCTCAATATACAGTGATAACCATAAAACAATGAAATGGAAAGACGTCAATAATACTGACTCAATAAAGTGATTTTAAGTGTATTTGATGTTTCTACAACACGCACCTCTGCCCCTTAAGTAAAAGTAAATTCAACCTATATGAAGCTTAAAGTCTGACCGCGTCAACCTTGTTGCACCAGCGTCCATAGAGCTAGGTACAGTACAAACTGGGACCGGAAAGGTTGACCTGACTCGGAAATTCAAATGTACTACGGCTGCCCGTGACAAAGCAATTCTTTTATATAGATACTTAGAAAATCACTAATTAATGGAAATGAGTCTGTTTACATCGGTGAATTTTTGTGTTTCTTTAGGACATTGAACTATTTAAAGTCATAACTTGAGTCTAAAAGTCGTCTTACTATTTCATAGTTTTCTGTTCATCACTGTACTATAATCATTACTGTTGTTGATCAGGAAAGCCAGTTAATCCATCAGAGGTTGCATCATACAGGAACATTTTCAAATTAAAAACAAAAACTCAAATCTACGAAAAGTCGTAAACTTTTAACCTTACTAGTAGGGATAGGGGAGGGGGGNGGGGGGATTTATGAAAACATGCTTTCACACGGATTTAATAGTTTGGTCCTAATTTTAGTAAGAAGTGACTTTCAATCCCAATTTGACCTATTAAACATAATTTATTCGCCTTTCTCTATTTTAATTTTTTCCCCGTCATATTTGTTCTAAAAAAAGTAATTAGTTTTGAACTAAATTGGGATCGAATTCAATTAGAAAAAACCAAACACATCTCACCAGTATACCAGAATATTGTGGACACCCCTCAATATGCAAAATACATCTATGTTTATAATTTACATCTTTTTATTTATATTTCAGCTTTAGGTTCACTTAGCAAATGGATTCGGTAAACAAAGGATTTGCATAAAAGCAGAAAATATTCTTCCACAAGTTTTTATTTTTTCCGACAAATGTTTTATATTTGAAATATTTCAGTTTTCAAAATTCATTTTTCTACCTTCAATGGGAGAATGATGGATCGTTTTCCTCCAACCAAGAGTTAACTGCGCTCTCAAAAACCAAGGAAATTCATTCATTCGAATTTTTTTGTTAATTTTCAAGAAAGTCTCTTGCTTGAAAATCATCATATAAAATTATTTAGGATCATAAATAAGCTAATTTTTGCTATTTAAACAGGTTTCTGGGGGCTAGACAGTCAAAAAAAAATTCCATAAATGAAAACTTAAACAAACGTTTTTTCAATGAATTATAATGATTTTAAAGATATTTCACTATGGCAGAAGTGAATCAATATTGTTTAATTTTTTGAATATAAAAAAACTAAAAAACCATTTTTAAAAAACATTTTGCGAGTGTATCTTTCAAAATGTATAAATTTCAATCCATTTAATTAGAAGCTAATCGGGTTGATTTCTTATTTACAAAAATGATTTTTCTTAAACTTTGTGACATTTCTTCAAGATTTCAATTATCATTATTAGCTTTTAGCTTTTCGGCTCAGGATTTATCCCTTTTAACTTAAAATAAACTTAATTGTAAATGACATTTTTAAAGATTTAAAAGTTTTGGACCTTCTTAACATATTTGAGCGGCTGGTTACTTGGTTGTGTTCTTCAGAACAATTCCTTCAAACTTGAAATTTATGAAAAATTTTTCTTTAACCTCGAAATTTATAAACAATTCCTTTAACCTTGAATTTATGAAGAAATTTATGAACAATGTCTATAATCTTGAATTTATGAAGAAATTTATGAACAATCCCTTTAACTTTGAATCTATGAACAATCCCTTTAACCTTGAATTCATGAAGAAATTCATGAACAATCCCTTTAATCTCCAAATTTATGAACAATCCCTGTAACCTTGAAATTATGAAGAAATTCATGAACAATCCCTTTAAACTTGAAATTTATGAACAATCCTTTTTATTTAAAACAAAAATGAATGAAACTAATCGTTTAGAGAAAATTGAAATTCCATCCTCCAAAGCAAAGATCTAAGGAATAAAATCATTTCTTTTCAAAACTGTTTTCACTAGATTTGTCTTTTAAGGATTTGTTCAAAGCAAACATCTTGTAAACTGTTGAAAAATAAATCTTATTAATTTTCAAGCCAAAATTTAACTAAATCTTTAGTTATTGTTCCTTATATTTTTTTTATTTAAAAAGTTTATTGTTTTAGTTTTATATTTGTTGCAATACTTTCGGTTTAATGGTCCAATTTACATTATTATTGGCAATGGGTCCAAGAAATAGATTTTATTTATTTTCTAAAAAAATGGAAGAAAAAACGAGAAAAGATAATGTTTCGTTAATGGGAAAATATTCGATAATTTGATCTGGTCTATGTAAAACTCTAAAAGTATTAGTCTCAATTTTTGTCTAAACGTTGAAATCATCGTTTTCTGTTTTATATAGAATGGTCATGCCTTTACTTTGGTTTTTTCGAATTCAAATTTAAACTTTTTAAAGGGAATAAAATTGCAATTTCGAGTGACCCAACAGTTTTAACCTTTGTCAAATCATCGACAGTTGAGTAACTAGTCTTATGTTTACATTAAGTCAAATATCCCCTTCAAAAAAAAAACAGTGTACTGCAAAATTGTGAGAAATGTCCTGCCGGGGCGGAAAACTGTTTATGATAGCATACAACGTATAAACTCGACATAGCTGACATTACATATTTCTCGAGATACCCGAGTCCAACACAGTTTTCAATAAATAAAAATATTTATTTTCTACGACTTCTAGAAAGTAGATTGATTTTTCAAAATATAAAACAGCTTGTAAACAGTCAAGGGTTTAAAGAGTACTGTTTGGAATCAGACATGCCACTCTATGAAAGGAGAAGTCACTTGAAATTACGCCTACAGTCCCTTTAACATAATGGCTTAATATTCCTTCAGGCATGAACTGATGTCTATTGTCTTTGTTTGAAGAAGATGTTTTATTTGTTTCAATATTAGATTTCTGTGTTAATATAATCTTGTGCAAACAGCAGTAGTCTGTCGGGTGACAGTTAACAAGAGAGAATGTGATTGAATGGGGANGGGGGGGGGGGGTAGGACCAGATATAACATTTGTGTTACTAAGTGAACCAATGGGGAAAATCTGGAAAAATCCCCTTCATTATTTTGAATATATGTGTAAATTGCACAGTTGTGATATTGAAAAAAAAATTATTTTTTAATAGTTCCCACTGCAGTTCTGGATTATTACTTTAACAAGAAATCAAGACGAAAAATCATGATTTAATTTTTAAGTATATCTGCATTCCTTCTCAAGTTGTTGAAGCAGGAAATCATTTTGTCTGGGAGTTCAAACATGGCAGGTAATTCTAGTTTAGAAGGCAGGAGATCATTTTGTCTGGGATTTTAAAAAGGGCAGGTAATTCTAGTTTAGAGGGCAGGAAATCATTTTGTTTGGAAGTTCAAACATGGCAGGTAATTCTAGTTCCTGAGGCAGGAAATAATTTTGTCTGGAAGTTTAAACATGGCAGGTAATTCTTGTTTCTGAGGCAGGAAATCATTTTGTCTGGGATTTTAAATAGGGCAGGTAATTCTAGATTAGGAGGCAGGAAATAATTTTGTCTGGGAGTTCAAACATGCCAGGTAATTCTAGTTCCTGAGGCAGGAAATCATTTTGTCTGGGAGTTCAAACATGGCAGATAATTCTAGTTCCTGAGGCAGGAAATCATTTTGTCTGAGAGTTCAAACATGGTAGGAAATTCTAGTTTTTGTGGCAGGAAACTATTGTCTGAGAGTTAAATTGCATTAAATTATAGTACATAGGGCATGAACTACATTTTTTGTAGTTTAAGCATGGCAGGTTGTTCTAGTTTAAAAAGCAGGTAGTACTTGCAGTTTTAACAAATGTTTTTTCTAGATATTTGACTTAAATACAAGAATAGATTTTCGACCAAACCTGGAAAAAGATGTTGATATATGAATACAATATACAATATAAAATTATACATACCACACTGTGAGTGTGACACAATCACAATGGGGGGGGGACTTCCATTCCTCCCCTCTCTGTTTTTTCTTAACTTAAAAACGGCTTACATTAGAGCACTCAAACTTTTTCACTTTTTCAACTTTAAAGTTTTTATGACAGCTAGATGCTGTTTCAAAAAAATCAAAAACAGTCTGTAATCATTTTACTTATAGAGCTATAGATCGAAAATCTATTTATTTTGAAAAAAAATTAAACATTAGAAAACATGTGTGACATGTTAATATTTGTCAAAAATAAAAAATAAAAAAAATTTTCCACATTTTACCGACGTACTCTATAACCTCTCAAGCACTCTTACCACTTAAGTTAGATGTCTACTTTTTTAATAAGCTCTTCCCTATCAACTCTAAGAAAAAACACCCCCCTCCCCCAACTATATTAGACAAAAATAGGCCAATCGGAATAGGTATAAGTAATTCAATACTTACTTTTTTATATATTTTAAAGAACACTGAATGTTCCCACAAGTACAGGCTTCCTTCATCATTACAGAGTTTGTGAATTTGGAGGTAAAACTACGCATTCATAAGTAAAGTTACGCATTCACAAGTAAACCTACGCATTCATAAGTAAACTTACACATTCATAAGTAAACTTACGCATTTACAAAAAAACCTACGCAATCACAAGTAAACTTATTAATACATTTGACCCAAAAATTCGGAATCAAAGCTAAATAACTATAGTTTAACACGCATATCTACGGCTAAATCTTAATTAGCTATTAATAAATTTAGCGTAAACATTAAGAATCAAAACTAAAAAATCATAGCCTGTATACCTTCATCAATTTTCCCCCAGTTAAAATTAAACAATCACAATTTAAAACCTTGATTACTTCTGATCTTAATTAATCAACCATTACTACACAATTAAGCCTTCATTACTTCACAATTAAACCTTCATTACTTCACAGTTAAAGCTTCATTATTTCACAATTAAACCTTCATTACTTCACGATTTAACCTTCATTTCTTCATAATTTAATATGCATTTTAGTCTTTTTTAATATTGATAAAACTGTAAGTAATGAAACCATAATAATACTTTAATAAACCTTATTTATACTGTATTTAAACACTTTTTTACAATTAAATAAAATTAAACAATTTCTTCATTAAACCATGCAAACTTTTAATTGAATTTAGCCTTGAATTAAAAAAACTTCTCTCAATTAGTTTTTATATAACCTTAATTATGATATTATACAACCTTAATTATGATATTATACAACCTTAATTTAACCTTGATTAAAAAAAGACTTTAACATAATCATTTTATACTTGTAAATCACATTTTAAATTTAATTTACTGGAATAAAAATATTATGATGTCTTATGGATAAGAAAGCATTGATAACTATTTTTTGATTTTTTTTGCGATTGTGAATAAAAGTATATTTAAATTTTAGGGAATGATTGCATAAAAAATGCTCATGTTGAAGATAAAAGGTAAAATAGGACCCATAAAACTCTAAAACTAAAGACGACATTTTAACAAGAGCAACTTATTACAATTTCAATCCTAGCTTCAGTCGTCTTCATATTCCACAGTTTTATGTGGCCTACTGTATGTTTAACAGAAACGTATACATAGCAGTTAAAAGTAATATTAAAGATAAATCTAAAAGTAAGATGTTTCTCTAAATCAAATGAACTTCTAAATTTTGTCCCTCCCCTCCTCTACTCCAACCTTTCTCCCTTATTCCATGTTCCCCCTTTCTCCCTTACTCCCCCTTTCTCCCTTATTCCCCTTTCTCTTTACTCCCTATAAATTTAAAAGGATTATATCGAGTATCTTCTCTATTATTGGAGGATTCACCAATAACTGATATTTTCTAAATTTAAATAATTTAAATCTGTAATCTATGTTGGATATTTTAAACCTGGCAGATTTAAATTTACTCCAGAAACAGAATACAAACTTTACTAATTTGTTAAATTTAAAATATACAGGCAGGGCATTTCAGGGATTGTCGACGAAATGTTATGTGAACCGAATTTACATCTTTAACGTCTTATTATTCGTTTTCCTAGCTTGAAAGTGTTTAATTTTGAAAATTTCCTTCAATGTTTCTTAAGCGGAAATGCGCAATTTTCAATTTCTATTTCTGCATTTCCAATTTCAATGCTCAATTTTGAAAGAGGCGATGACAAAGCTTTAAAAGAAACTGGAACTTGGAAGCTTAATTTCAATTGACCCTCAAAGCAAGGATGGCAATGTTCGATTTACAACAGTACACTTGAAACTTTAATCTGATAAAATATGTGGAAGATACGTCGTTTTCCTGACTTGAAAAGTAAGTATTTCTGTCAGTTTCTCCGTTCCCACTTATATAATCAAGAAATGTGCAAGTCACTTCCACAGAGAAACCGTAAACCTAAATAAACAGTTTAAAGTTACAAAAACATGAATATCTAATCCAAAGAATAATAATGTAATAGTCATTTCAGAGGTGTACAAACACCGCCTAGAGAGAACTGGTTTCAATATGTACGCAGAGAATACGCAACAACAATTGACTTTCCTTGCCTGCATTACCTTGATCTAATTCAGACAAACCTTTAAAGGGAACCGTTATGAATCGGACATTTCCATCTTTGTTTCGAGGGTCACTTGAAATAACGCTTACAGTCCCTTTAATTAAATGAAATGATAAGTCTACAGATCCTTTCAGCCCTGCTTTTTTCAAGCCTACTTTTATTCCTTGTTTAGAATTCCTAATATTTGGGGTCGGCAACTACTCAACAATATTAAAAGGTATGATAAATATAATGATGATCTTTTTTATTCAACCCCCCCCCCCTCCTTTCCTTCACATAGTATTATGCAATACAGCTAAAATTGCCCACTCTAAACATTTGTTTATTATTTGTTTAAATCTAAATTACAAAAGTTGTCAGAAATGTTGAACAGAATTGAATAAAATGAGATATCTCTAATATTCTGATCAAAATTTCGAAAAAAAAGTTTTAATTTTGAAATTCTTTTACTACTTTTTCGTAAAGTGCACTCAATCATTTTTTATCTTATTTACAGAAAAATCAACATAAAATAAGAAAAAAATTTTTATTGGTGCTCTAAAACTGTCAAATTTTGTTTAGGCGTAGTGAGGAGACAAACTGTGATTTAAGATTTAATAATTTTGATAATCCTTGATTTTAACATGAAAATAAATGGATAAAATTAAACATGTTTTATTACAAAGATCTATTTAGTTATGTTATGGTTGACAATTCTGTTTTCAGAGTCAATTTCACACACTTTTAGTCGTAAAAGAGAGTATTGTCCAGTTGGGAAATAGACGAAGTATACTATTTTTTGGGATTTCAAGTGACCACTAAATTTCTTTAAGTCGAAGAAACCCCAGAAATATGTGGAAGGGAGAGACTGGACAGGTAAATTATTTGAACCGAAAGAGCAGTATTATAGAGAAATGTTTTAGGATGCATTTGATACCAACGAGACGTTTTTACTGCGTCTGATTAAGAGCGTAAATTCGTTTGTAACATTTCACCAGATGGTCTGCAGAAGAAAATTTTTGAAATTAATTAATAAAGCGGAAAGGGTTAGATGACATAATCCGGATAGGATATCGACATCCTATCCATCCTATAAAGTGTAAAAGATTTTAATATTTAAGTCACATATCACGTTTATCCTGACTCTGCAGTCTGCAGTGTTCTCTTGTTGATTGAATTCTCACAAAACATAAAGCGAAGGTTTCACAAAAAATGTGTAGTTGGTTCAAACCATGGATTATTTAACAATTCAGACAGAAACTAGATGTCTTCTTTTCAAGATTTAGGAATTTTTGTTCACAATAAACCTGGGGCAGAAGTTCAAGTATTGGTGTAAACTGCCCCAAAATCAAAATTTGGGTTATATGTCAATATATCCGTGCGTTTGTGCGTTATCTTTTCTTTTATTTGTGATAATCTTGAATCAAAATAAAATCAGCAATCCATGTTTTTCCTTGCGCCAGTGCATTTTCAATCAAAACTTTGATTTCAATTGAAAAATATCATTTTATTTAGCAAAAACGTGCGTTCTTGCGCCGCGCAAGAACGCATGAAAATGACACTTGAAAAAAAATT